TCAGTCTCGCCTAAGCTCGCGGAGCTAGGCGACGACCTCCATAGGGCGTAAGCCTGTCAGTCTCGCCTAAGCTCGCGGAGCTAGGCGACGACCTCCATAGGGCGAAAGCCTGTCAGTCTCGCCTAAGCTCGAGGAGCTGGGCGACGACCTCCATAGGGCGAAAGCCTGTCAGTCTCGCCTAAGCTCGCGGAGCTGGGCGACGACCTCCATAGGGCGCAAACCTGTCAGTCTCGCCTAAGCTCGCGGAGCTGGGCGACGACCTCCATAGGGCGCAAGCCTGTCAGTCTCGCCTAAGCTCGTGGAGCTAGGCGACGACCTCCATAGGGCGAAAGCCTGTCAGTCTCGCCTAAGCTCGCGGAGCTAGGCGACAACCTCCATAGGGCGCAAGCCTGTCAGTCTCGCCTAAGCTCGCGGAGCTAGGCGACGACCTCCATAGGGCGCAAGCCTGTCAGTCTCGCCTAAGCTCGCGGAGCTAGGCGACGACCTCCATACGGCGCAAGCCTGTCAGTCTCGCCTAAGCTTGCGGAGCTAGGCGACGACCTCCATAGGGCGAAAGCCTGTCAGTCTCGCCTAAGCTCGCGGAGCTAGACGACGACCTCCATAGGGCGCAAGCCTGTTAGTCTCGTCTAAGCTCGCGCAGCTAGACAACGACCTCTTTAGGGAGAAATCTTGGTAGTCTCGCCTAAGCTTACGGAGCTAGACGACGACCTCTCTAAGATGAAAGATTGTTAGTCTCACCTAAGCTCATGGAACGGTGACGACCTCTATTGTTGACGAGGTCGCCGCGTGAGGTTGGGAATGTGAGTCTTGAAAGACTTAGCAATAATTGTGCTAGGTGCAAAAAGCCCATAGTCACAATGCTAAGTGTTTACAAGACCTGGCGAGTGGAGTTCGTCATGAAAGGATAATTGTAGTTACTTATGCAGTGATACATTATATAAATGCAAGCAATTGAAACAAGCAAACAACATAATAGAAAGGTTCACAAGGGCCTAAGTGAGTTCACGATTACATGCGAAAATAAAAAGTTCAACACCAATGAGAGCGGTCGACCTGTCCCGGTGATCGACGTCATCCATTACAACTTCTCAAGTGGTCGGCACGTCCAGGTGGTCGGCGTCTCAGGTGGTCATCACCTTATCATCGCGGGGTGGTCTTCACGGCGTGGTAGTCATGATCCAGGTGGTCGTCATCATGAGTGCTCAGCGTGGGTGTGCGACGGCGTGGATGCTCGGCGGTGGTGTGCTCAGCGTGGAGTCCTCGGCAGGGAGTGCTCGACGTGGATGCTCGGCGCTGGAGTGCTCGGCGTGGAGTCCTCGGCAGGAGGTGCTCCGCGTGGGTGCTCGGCGGGGGGTGCTCGGCGCGAGGCTCTCGGTGAGGGGCGCTCGGCGCGAGGCTTTCGGCATGTAGGTGCCCGGCATGGAGAGTGCCTGGCGTAGGCGGCGCTCGGTAGGGGGCGAGTGCCCGGCGTAGAGTAGGTGCTCAACATGGGAAGCGCCCGGTGCAGGCGACGCTCAGCATGGGGCGAATGCCCAGTGTAGGCAGCGCTCAGCATGGGGCGAGTGCCCGGCGTAGGGAAGGCGCTCGGAGTAAAGCGGGTGCCCGGCGTGGGCGAGTGCTTGACGTAGGGCTCTCAACGGGGGACGCACGGCGTGAGGCTCTCGATGGGTTGTCCGGCGCGAGGCTCTCGGTAAGGGGCGCTCTGCGCGAGGCTCTCGGCATGTAGGTGCCCGACATGGGCGTGACGGCCTTGATCGTTACAAAGGACGATGCTACCACATCGAGCCCGTTCCTGGAGAAACAGATCAATATATCTGTCCCGGCGCGAGAGGTGCTCGACATTGGCGTGACGGCCCTGGCGTGGCGGAGTGCCCGACATGGCGAGGTGCTCGGCATAAGGAAGTGTTTGGCATCGACGGGGGCAGCTCAAAATGCTTGGCGGTGAGTGCTCGGCCCCGACATGGAGGGTGCTCGGCTTTGGCAAGTGCCCGACTTTGGTAGGTGCTCGGCTTCGGTGGGTGCCCGACATTAGAGGAGTGGTCGGATTTGGGGTGAGTACTTGGCCCTGGGGGAGTGTTCTGGCATTGTGTGGTGCTCGGCTTCAGGGTGTTTGGTCTTGGGAGGCGCCCGATGTAGAAGTGTGCGGCTCGATGAGGTGCATGGTGTTTTACGCGCGAACTTGCATGATGACAAACGTGTTTGAGGGAGGTAGGCGCAATGGTCACTATGATGCGTGTAATTCTTCATTCCTTACAACAAGATAAACTTGTTTAAGGAATGGGGGGGCTCGATGATGTGGTCGTTAGTAGTGGCTCGTGGGGAACAGGTTATGATCCGGCCAGCACTGTCATATGAAGGAGATCGGCTAGGCATTATGGTAGTCGGGCGGTTGGGTGAGTTTAGCGTCTCTGCATGCCCGATGCTCTTGAATGCTCGGCGGCCCCGAGTGCTCGGTGTCCTCATGTGCTCGGCGGCCCTCATGTGCTCGGCGGCCCTCATGTACTCGGCGGCCCTCATGTGCTCGGCGGCCTCATGTGCTCGGTGGTGAGTAGTTAGGCACATGTGCCTAGGTGCATTACTTAGAAAATTAAAGATAAAGAGATGGAAGGGACTAAGCAAAAGAAAAGAGCATCACCATGTGTGATGGGCTCGGAGTGATTGGCATCTCGCGTATAGTTCGGCATTGACACTTTGTTTCCCCGGCTTGGTCGGCACTCAGCGTGGCTATCACCTTGATAGCTCGACATTGGGTGTTGGGCGTAGGATGCTCGATATGGAGTGCTCGGCTCGGGGCCTCAGTGTGGCAGAGCTCAACTTGGCAAGTGTTCGGCACGAGGGTGCTCGGCGTGGCAGCCCTCGATGATGGGCGCTCAGCAGCGGCACTTGGCAAAGGTGCTCGGCATTGGTGCTCGGCGGTAGGGCGCTCAGCAGTACGGCGCTCGGCAGTAGCGCTCGACGATGATCGGCATGAGGAGCTCACGTTAAGTGTCCAGCAAGAGAGTGCTTAGCTGTGGATAGTTCGGCTCGGCAGGGAGCGCGGTGTTTTGCGTACGAGCTCGCGTGGTAGTGAAAAAGTTTGGATGAGGTAGGCGCGATGCTTATGGCTATGCGTGTAAGTTTCCATTCCTTACAACAAGCTCAACTTGTCTAAGGAATGAGGGGGCTAGATGATGTGGTCGTCAGTAGCGGTTCATGAAAGGCCGGTCGTGATTCGGTCATCACATTTGTATGGAGAGAACCAACTAAGCACCTTGGCAGTTAGGCAACTGGGTACTCTGTCTAACTCCATAGTATTGTTATGCTACCCTCAAGTGCGCGGCACTCCCAAGTGCGCGGCACCCCCAAGTGCGCGACACTCCCAAGTGCGCGGCACTCCAAGTGCGTGGCACCCTCAAGTGCGCGACACCCTCAAGTTCGGGGCACTCCCAAGTGCGCGGCACTCTCAAGTCCGCGGCACCCTCTGGTGTGCGGCACTCCCAAGTGCGCGGCACCCTCAAGTGCGCGGCACTCTCAAATGCGCGGCACCCTCGTGTACTCAAGTCATAAAGAGGTTCACAACTTCAGGGACTATGGACGTATGATCTTTTGACCTAATTAAGAGATATACATGAAGTTGACTTCTTGTCTCATGAGGACTCTCCAAATATCTCCTATAAAATGAGTAGGTTCATTCATTTTACACAACACACATACATGAGCTATCTCGTTACTCTGTTGTTTTCTCTCTAGACCGTCACTGACTTGAGCGTCGGAGTGTTCGCGCTGGGACCACCCCCGGCGTGCTTTGCAGGTATCGACCATCAATGAGACGCAACCCGGTTCGGAGAGGAGCGGTCCAACGGTTCAAGTATTTTTAACATGACCTTAAAATTTGGATCATGTTGCTCTCAACTTAATGAGTTCATAATTGATATTCAATTCAGTTTGTGATAAAATGAAATTAGCAGTGTGATGAAGTTTTAATAATCAGGACCAGGAATGTGAAGATGTCCAAATTTCCCAAATGAGTTGATGTAAAATTTGGCCAAATGTGAACTAGGTAGTCCACTTAATTAACCAGGAGATGGCAACAAAGGAGATTGTTGATCTTTTTGGAGTCCTTTTGGTACAACTTTTAAGAGCTGCTCAACGAAACGAGTCGCTCGTGAGCTCGACTTGTCCGCTGGAGTTCAGTTCGGCTCGTATGACAAACGGGCTTGAGCTTAAAGCTCGTTTCTTTAACGAAACAGGCTCGGATCGACTCGATAAGGCTTCAAAAGAGAATTTTTATACAATTTTCTATAGTTTGGCTAGTTAAGCTTGAAATCAGCTCGTTAAAGCTCAAACTCGACTCGTTAATATTGATAAAAGATCCGAGCTTGAGATCGATTTCTTGTTCGTTTACTTATAAGCCGAGCCCTCGGCTCCTTAAGGGCCAAAACTGGAGCTCGAGTACCCTGAGCTCAAGTTTGATTCGACTTGTTTACAACCTAAACTCCTTACATGTGTGTAACATGATATCATCAATGTGGGTCCCATGTCCTTCAAATAATTTGTTTTCACCCGTGTTCTCTCTGTTTTTGCAAAATCCTACTCATATATTTATAAACATCAATACCGTACTCTTTGTGTTGATAATTTTATGCACTATGGGATAACCACATTTAGCCAGTTTAACTCTGCCCAAAGGCCGCACATGGTTGAAATGTAAGTCCAGATATTAATGCTAAAAACTGAAAAAGTACCTGCAAAGAGATAACTTGCAATTTACAACGCAAAAGACCTTCCTTAAGACATTAGGAACACCTAATTCAAGACTTGCCATCTAACTTTGCTTAAACTTAATTTTCTCAAATACAGGAATACGTTGAGATTTGTTCAAGCTGCAAGGAAGACTACTTTCAGGGCATCAAAAAGGTCAGCCCGATTGCAGCCTCAAATACAGAACGAATCAAGATTTGCACTGTTAAGTTCACTAGAAGAACGCCTCATCAAGATTCATTTACATATAAGAATAAATCCTAACTAGCATTTTCATCATCTTGTTCTTGATCCCTGATCCATTTCGTGGCCACCCACTTTTCACCTTTGATAACCGGACAGCTCCCATGAAGAGATGTCTGCACAAGTCCCAAACAACATTGAACAGTCGTTAGATCTCAATCGATAACAATGCCAAGTCGCCTCAGACTCATATTATAGAGTTCTGCATATGTAACAAACATATGCTAGAAACATTCCAAGTGTTCAATAGTGAGCTTTACTTATTTCACTGCATCAATAATTTCTTATAGATGTTTTTTACAATGAATTAGTCTACGGTTTTAAGGTCTCAAGCAGTTGTCAATAAACCATATGTAAAATAGAACAATCTGTCCAATTTCCTTTGCTAGTTCAAGCATTCACTAATTAAGCTTAAAGGACCAATCTTTTAAATAATGCCTCGGGAGTTATATTCGACTACTCAACTAAGAAGACTCTTGGATTCTGGCACACAACATTGTCTTCTGTCATTATAATTACCTACACAACATAATATACTATTTCCTCCAGTTTCTTTAATATTTCCAGATATATTCCCATCTTCTGCTATGAAATGAACTCACACATGAACACGTACAGAATAAAAACAAAACGAGAAGGAAAAAAGATACCAAACAAGCACTCGTGTTAATGATACAAAAAAAATAAAATGTAAAAAAGAAA